TTTCATGCCTCGCTACAAATGCTTGGCTGCCACAAGCCAATTATCCCTGTGGTAACTTTTCTGAAACCTCTTGGCGGAACGGAGCTCTCCGCTTGGAAAGGATCGATGGATCACACTTTTGTGGTCCATATTTGTACTGAAAATCGAGATTGAGTAAGCTTTTGCCCTTTTGCTCTACGCAAGGTTCCCATCCTCGCTGAGCTCACCTTGGGACACCTGTGTTATCATTTGACAGACATACTGCCCCAGTCAAACTCCCCACCCAGCATCTCTCATTCTCAGGCTATCATCAAAAAGAAGGTTGTCAATTACTTCTACAATAACAACCTTCTGAGTGACAAGCAGTATGGATTTTGCTTGTCTAGGTCCACTGCTGATGTCTTAACAGTTACTACACATAAAATCAGTTAAGCAATTAATAATAAATCCATTACAAGAGCAATTGCCTTAGATATCTCAAAGGATTTTGACAAGGTGCTGCTACACAAACACCCCAGCTATGACATTTCTGGTAGAGTCTTCTTGACTATCATCCTTTATCTCTGGTAAGTCCATGGAGGTCATTGTTAATGGCCAGTCCTCTGATTCACATAATATCAATGCAGATACTCAGCAATGCTCTCTTCCTGGTCCTACCTTTTTTACTGCTTTATATTAACAACTAGCAGTAGAGCCCGGCATTGCCCGGGGATGTAACAGTAAGAGATAGATCAAGTATCAACCATCGTAAAGACTGAAAAATAAAATTGACAAAGATTATTTTTTAAGGTTGATGGACACGCATGTTTTAATTAGTTTTACTTTTTTTATTTTTTTTTTTTTTACGAATTGGTCAAACCCAAACTCAAACAAAAACATTGTTTTCAATCGTTATGACTATGAGTCTACCGATTGAATAGAATTTTATTATAAGCAATTGTCTTGTAAATGGAATTTTAAAAGCATTCTGAATGTAAAAATAAAGAAAAAAGTGTGCAAGAAAATAAGAAACACTACCTGCCAAAAAAAGTGAAGATTGTTGAAATCGGTTGAAAAATGTAGGAAATCTGATCCCATATATAAAGGAACACACACACACACACACACACAACCAACCTGGGTTTTATAATAAGTCTAACTCGATACTAATAAGCATAACTTGATATGAGTTGTCCCCCTTTCATTAATGCCTCTTAATCATGTTTTCAAATTGATTTCGTGCAAAAATAATTGTGTTTTTCCAATTTTGGGTGCTGTCAGAACCACCGCAAGGTAATTTTATGTAGTCCTGTGAAGTTTTGTTGAAATCGGTTGAAAAATGTAGGAAATCCGATCCAATATATAAACGTACAGACGCACACACAAATTGCGTTTTATAATAAGTAAGATCTCCCTAAGAACATTCTCAGATCACTTGTAAATATATATGCAAATAAAACCAAATGTTACATAACCACTACAAAAAATTTAGACAACCTCAACCTGATCTCTCCTCTGACCTTTGCTTGCTCAGGGATAGTAACTGACTGGTAACATTCTATAAATCCCAAACTAAGCTAGTAATGCTTAATCACCATTGAGAAAAACCTGAATTTTCTCCAAACATAATGAATGCTTGTACTTTTAATAAGGTTCCTTGCCTGGACTATCTACTGGGATGTATGTTCACTTCCAAACCTCAGTTGGAACTTGTATATATAGGGTGCGATTGATAAATTGTCATCTAAGTTATGCAAAAATTAAAATCACAATGATATCTCAGTTTAACAGATATATTTACCAAAATTACACAAAAATATCGTGAAATGCAAAAGAGTAAATTTATTCAATAAAATCGCCATTGGCTTCAACCATGGCCTCTGGATGACTTCGGAATTTCCTTCTGGATGGTTTCTTTGTTTAAGTTGGTGAATTCTGCCATAATCCTTGCCTTCAGTTCATCTTTGGTCTGACAAGCAGTTTTGTTTGACTCTCACTTAACTGCATTCTGTCAATAATAATCAAAGAGGTTGTTGTCTAGGGAGTTAGATGACCAGATGTAAAGGGTGATGTGATTGCAGAGATTGTCTGACAGCCATGACTGGGTTCTCCAGCTTGCATAGCATGGTGCAGAGTCCTGTTGCCAGACATAGGTTCTTCCAGTAGCCACCCCTCTTGACCCAGGGCAACACTACCTCTTCAAGACACTTGACGTAAGCCTCCGCGTTGAGTCTGAAGCCCTCACCAACAAATTTGGGAGTTCTCTTTTATCAAAACCATCAGAGTGGGTTTTCCGAGTTGCTATACCTTGGTAATCACCATTGAACTCTTTCTGAATCCTTTGCACTGTTCTTGGATTGACACCCAAACACTCTGAAATGTTCATATTAGAGCTTACAATGCAAAGGCCAAGCAGTACAGTGTGATGTTTCTAAATTTCTGGTAAAGTAAATTGCATCATTGTGTTCTTTTTCTCACAAATGGTGCCTAACTGACTCTACTATACTGTGTAGTTGGCAAACATGTGCAAAATTAAAAATATAAAATAGTAACAATTTACCCATCACAACCTGCACAATCCATCACAAAAGATGCTGCAAAAATGGTTGGTTCTTCATACCATTCCAGAAAGTTTTGCAACTCGTGACCTGTCCTGGGTATGAAAATAAACTACATCCACATCCTGGATAAAACGATAAACTATGTCTGACAGAAAGGCCTTTGATCAGGAGCTTTTGAGAAGTGTAGAACCACCTCTTAATTGCTGGTGTTTCCAGGTCCACCCTGACCCGGAGTTGTAGCACCTGTTAGGGTCCCAGTTATGGGCAAATAGTTAACCCCCAAACTAGAGTCAAAACATTATGAAAGTGTAAAAATAGGTTTTAAAACCAGAAATATTTTGTAAAAAAAATTATTACCAGTAATACATTTTTGAAAAAAAAATATTACCAGTGATACATTATAAAAAAATATTACCTGTTATACATTTTTGAAAAACAAATCTTACCAGCAATACTTTTTGAAAAAAAAGAAAAAAGAAAACATTACCAGCTATACATTTTTTGAAAAAAAAAAATATTACTAGTGAAGGAAAAATATGACCAGAAATGGATTTTTTGAAGGAAGGAATATTATAAGAAATAGATTTTTGGAAAAAAATATAATCAACAATGAAAATTTTGTCAGCATTAAATGACCCATTGAGGTTGATATGCCGTAAACCAAACCAAACCAACTCCCCCTGACATACTCTCTCTACAAGAGCCAGATCAGACTAAAAAAGGAACAATTGTTGTTACAGCTCCCGAATCTTTTTGTAATTATTTTCCACTCTTCAATCCCTTTACCATTGATGACTCATTTCTAGCCTTTCACTACTCTATCATTATTTCCATGGCCAATGTTCTGGCAAACTAGGTTCCTTGGTTCCACCAGTTCAGATCTAGGACCCACCATGCCGTGTACACTGAGTCTACCCATCCTCATTCACTTCATTGGTCAGGACGAATTTCCATTCCAGAACTGTTGCAATGGGAAATGAACTCCCGAGGGGATGCTACCCTGGACCACTATAATCTTAAATTCCTCAAGTCAAGAGTCAATTGTTGTATATGTTCATGAGAGGTACGGTGGAGTAATGGATAACCGCATGGACTGAGGAATCAGAGAGCTGAGTTCGAATTCCAGTCAAATCCATTACATTCACTTATGTACTAATACCCTTGGGAAAGGTATGAATCCTTTTCTCCTCCTCCCAGCTATGGGTAAATAGCAGGGCAGGCTGGGTTCTATAGCCTTGGGTGATAACTGGTCTAGGAGAAGGATAACTCTGATTTCAAAACCTGTGGAATGTCATTTGAGGACCTTGTGGCACACAGTGCACTAGATCTCTGTATTCAGCCCTTCAAAAAGTGTGGTTGGTTCTACACAAAGCTTTCACAACTGTAATCAAGTCATATATGGAGTTATCATATTTGCTCTATGTGCCATAAGGAGGCATGGTGGAGTAATGGATAGTGGCTCGAATTGAAGAATTGGAGAGCTGAGTTTGAATTCCAGTCGGATCCATTACATTCACTTACGTGTTAATACCCTTGAGAAAAGTATGAATCCTCTTCTTCTTCCCCCAGCTATGGATAAATAGCAGGACAGACGGGGTTCTATATCATTGGATGGCAAGTGGTCTAAGAGAAAGTAACTCTGAATTCAAAACTGTATGTAGCCCTGGCATAGCACATACTATACAGCTAAAGAAAGGATCATTTGCATTGTCTCAATGATCCTGACTACAGTCACCCTGGATGGATGATATCCTCATAATATGCAACCCTCACTCCTTCTTCCAACATCCCCATTTAGTATCCCTCTACCTTGAGTGGCACTTAGGCATTGTATAGAGTGAACAATAGTGAAAAAAAGAAATTTTGCTTTTCATGGTTTAATTCTCCCAGTGCTGCTTAAAAATTAGATATTGAAAAAGAAAACCTGATTAAAAAAAAAAAAAAAAAAAAAGGGATAAATACCTGATAACAAATGAAACGATGAGCCACTTTTGGGATAAATTGGTCTGTGAAGAGGATTAGCGGTGGGAAAATTAAGAAGTTGACTCCTACTGATTTTCTTTCAACAAGCTGAATGGAAACACTTATGGCATATCAGCAGAGGTGAAGAAATTGTGTGAAGATGTCGGGTGAACAATTAAATCGTGAAACACTGCAGGAAGCACTATGAACAAAATCTGGGAGGGTGCAAAATTGATTGAGATGCAAATATGCAAAATTAATATGTTTATTAAATTCATAAATAGCATTTACTTAATGTCTCTTAGTTTTTGAAGCTATAACTTTAAAATCAAAGAAATTGGGTCATGTTTCGGGGAAATTTTTACACTGCTGTCAACTGACATATCTATTAGGTTGGTGCAAAAATAATGACGTAATAATGTCGTTTTTTGACGTTATGTCAAAAACGACATTATTACGTCATTATTTTTGCACCAACCTAATATTTTAATTTTTTTTTTTTTTTTTTTTTACTGCTTACATTGAAACACCGGTTCTCATATGACCTCCAAAGTTAAGCAACGTCGAGCTTGGTCAGTACATAGATGGGTGATCACTTGAGAATATTAGGTTCTTTAAGGTTGGATGTGCAGGTGGTGTAATGGATAATGACTCAGAATTGTTAATCAGAGAGCCTAGTTCCAGTTTCTGTTTGGCTTCATTATACACTTGGGAACATGGTGTAATGGTTAGCAGTCTTGCAAGAATAATTATGATTGAGTAGTGGTAGTGAGTTCAATTCTCATTGGGTACCTCATACTTTTGGCCTTGTGCCACATTTAAGCTACACTTAGAAAATCATCATATATGCTTGGGAAAGGTATGAATCACCTCTCTCCCAGGTATGGGTTAATTAGTAAGACTTGTATTACTAGGAGGCACAGTGGAATAATAGATAGTGGATCGGATTGAGGAATCGTTGAGCTGAGTTTGAATTCCAATCAAATCCATTGCATTCACTTATATGCTAATACCCTTGGGAAAGGTATGAATCATCTTCTTCTCCCTCCAGGTATGGATAAATAGCAGGACAGACTGGGTTCTATAGCCTTGGATGGCAACAGGTCTAGCACAAAAAGAAATGGCAACCTACTGCATGAAGAAATTTGCTTCGTCAGTCATGTATTGAAAATCATTAATACATGATCGCCTAAGTGTGTATTATACATGGCACATAACTGACTGACTGTATTACTAAAACTATTATCTCAAAAAATAAAAACCTTACAATCTAAAAATATTTTCTGGTTTTAAATAACCTGCAATAGGGTTGATAAGCCATAGAAAACAAATCAGTAAAAAAAAAAAAAATTATTTTTTTTTTTAATCCTTTCCAGACCAAGTTTATTTTTGTAGTTGCTTTAAAATATGTCAAATTTACTTTCAATTTTTGAACTACTGTCACAAATTAACCCTCTTTTCCAAATCTATTTTGATGAGTATATCCTGGTCTCAAATAAATTGTTTGATGTCTCAACTAAATTTGAGTTTCTCCTCATCTCAAATAAATTGTTTGATGTCAGGCGGAAAATTGCCAATATGATCAGTTATGTTCCGAGTACTTTTGACTTGACCATTATTGGCCAATTTCAAGGAAAGATGGGAGAAAGTTGAGAGATAGCCAGTTTGGTATTTATATTGTTAAAGGTCTAAAACAGGGTGTTGATGGGTCAGAGGTCCACAGTCTTCACTTGACAGTCTTGATAAAGTTAACAATCATTTATACACTACGTGCCAAATTATTAGCGAGATGACTTTTTTCTAATATTTCATAAACCGTGTAATCAATTCACACAAAATTTTCACACAATGTTGGCAACACTGACCTGTGCAATTACTGAAATTTTCGTACTGATCTGTACAATGTAAACAAACTGGCACCATATTTGTTATCATTACAGTGATTGAGCATGCCAAATTATTAGAAAGGTTTAGTAAAATTCCCAGAATTGAGCAAACAAAATATTTATTAATGTTGAACGTGAATGCTTATGATCAAAAGACGCTAATAAATAAGATAATTAAACAAATAATAACAGATACAAACAAAGGCACAGTTTTAAACAAAGAGGGAATGTGCTTTTCCTGTTTTGAAATTACTTGAAGAAGTCGACGATCCATAGAATTTGTTAATTGTAGGATGTCATCTGCTGTAATGCCGTGAGATATATCAAGAATTGCTTCCTACAACTCAGTGTTACTCCTAAATTGTCATCCATTGGTGTACAGTCTTCGCTTCATGATGCTCCAAAGGTTTTCGATTGGGTTCAAATCCGGAGAATTTGCTGGCCACTTCATTTTTTGAGGTCCATCAAAGCCTAACTGTTTCAAATATTTAGTTGTGAGCAGCATGTGAGGGAGCGTTATCTTGCATAAAAACAATGGCCCTTTTGAAGGCGACTCTTTACCTTTTCATCCACAGTTCAAGATGCTCCTTCATAAACGCTATGTATGCATCAGCAGTCATTTTGACGCCATCTGGTCCCACTAATGTTTTTCCATTAATACCACCCCAGATCATAATGCCTCCACTGCCTTGTTGGCGTCTCAAATGCTGATGGCGATTCTGTCCGTTCATTACTCAGCCTTTGCACCATCTACCTGGCCCATCAATTGTTGCTCGAGTTTTGTCTGTGAACAAAACTTTAGAGAAGTCAATCTTCATATTGTCCTTGGCCCATTTCAATCGATTTTGAATGTGATTTCTCGTCAGGCTTCAATACAGGTTTGACTGTTGTTGCTATTTCCCTCAGATACCGACACCGAGTACTTTTAGACACAGTAGGATCCCCAATTTGGCTGAAAAACTCTTGACTGGTAAGTCCAGGGTTATTCGTGGCCTCTCGTTTAAGTCATGACATGAGACAACATGAAATAACACTCGGCTTACCTTTATCTGCCCTTTTGCATACTTGTGTAGGGTCAGTGGTGAACTTTTTCACTGTTTGATGACACCTCCCTATCATTTTAGAAATTTCTAGGGTAGATTTACCTTTTGAGAGTTCTGAGGTGATAGTTTTCTTTTCAGCATCGCTTAAACTGCTTTTACAGCCCATCTTTACACTAAATTCTTACACTTTTCTAATAATTTGGCATGCTCAAATCCCCGTGCTGATAACAAATATGGCGCTAGTTTGTTTACATTGTTCAGATCAGTACAAAAATTTCAGTGATTGCGCAGGTCAGGGTTGCCAACATTGTGTGAAAATTTTGTGTTAATTGATTGGACGGTTTTTGAAATATTAGAAAAATAGTTATCTTGATAATAATTTGGCATGCAGTGTACAGTCTTGTAGATGGACACTTATTTTCAGCTTTGCAACATTTTGTTCCACTCGATGTCACAGCAATACTCCATTTTTTGGTCTGATCTGACTCTTTCAAAGACAGGGCATGGTAGGAAGAATCAAGTACTTTTTGGAGTGGTACATTTTTCTAACCTCTTTAGCAGTGGATTGTATATGTGAGTTCCAACTGAGGTCTGGAAGTGAACTTTAGTTCAAGGCAAGGAGTCTCATTGAGTGTATAGTCATTCATCATGCCTGGTGTTGATAAAATGTTACTAGATTGGTTTTGAAGGTATTGAACATTACAAGCAGTGGTGTGCAGCAGTTTGGTGATGCCTGGGGTTGGGGGGTCTATAGGGCCTTGTACTGAGAAATGTGAGAAAGGAAGACATTTTTAAATATGTATAAAAAGATGAAACATGAAATAAACACTTTATTTCAAAATTTCAAAAACTAAACTTTTATTTAATTCTTTGATTGGATGCCCTTAGTTTCACACCATCTGCCCCCACTCCCACTTTCTGCATGCCATTGGTTACAAGGCAGTTTTTCTCCGCCCCCCCATTGACCTGTTAAAGCTAAATCCAAAGAGAGATCAGTTGCCAAGCTCTGATCATCTAACTTTTTGCAGGTGTACCCATAAAACTGTAGCATCATCTGCATGGATATTATTTTTAATCAATTTGCCCCAAGCAAGGCAATAAAGCCACTATGACACAAGTGGTTACTTAAAGTAAAAGAGAATGAAAAGGGTTTAGAAGTATCTTGAAACCCAACCCTAAACAGCAAACAACTTTACTCCAGTTCACAAGAGGAGCTTGAACTAGACGATAGGTGAACCTATCTACTTCTACAGAGAAAAAAAAAATATTTCAATGTTTAGGCAGAAACATTAGAAGTATAGTGTTGAAGTAGACTTTAGAAGATACCAGAAACCCAATCTTAAACAGGAAGCAAGGGATTAAAAAGACTTGGGAGGAGTGTGAACGAGATGACAGGCAAATCTACTCCTGAATAGGAATTTGCATTGGTTACTGAAGTCAGTCAATTATGTGCCATGCATGATACACACTTAGGTGATCATGTATTATTTGATACATTTTTTTCCTGCAGTAGGTTGCCATTTCTTTCTGTGGTAGACCAGTTGCCATCCAAGGCTATAGAACCTGGTCTGTCCTGCTATTTACCCATAGCTGAGGGGAGAAGAAGAGGATTCATACCTTTCCCAAGCATATTAGCACGTAAGTGAATGTAATGGATTCAACTGGAATTCAAACTCAGCTCTCCGATTCCTCAATTCGAGCCACTATCCATTACTCCAATGTGCCTCCTATGGTTGCTGAAGTAGTTAACCTATTTTCTCCAGGTGAAAGATCAGATATGAAATCAGAATCTTCTTGAAAGTTGTTTCTATTCAGCTGATTTCTTTCAGCTGATAATCTCAGAATATAGGTTTTGCTTTGTACTGAAGATGATTACAGGTATATCATAGATACCAAAATCCAATTAAAAACTAAAATTTCTAATTCAGGCTCTCTTCATTTGAAAGATTGGTGCAATACATTCTTCTGAAACTCAAGTTTCTTAAAGTTAGTCTTGTATCACAATATAAACTGAATCATATTTAAAGTGTCCTTTAGAATTTTACCAGGATCAAGATGTTGATATTTCACACTACTTCAAACAAAAGGTTAGGAAGGAAACCCCCACCAATACTGTAAAGATCAATAACAGACAACTTGAGAAAACTATTTTCCTGAAAAATTGTATTAATAGAAAGATTTTATATATTTCAACTCAGTGCAACACTGGATGCTCAGTCAATGAATACCAAATGTTTCCTCATAAGGAATTAACTAAATGACTAATATTAAAATTTTGTGACTGTTTTAATGCTTTAGTATATCAAGTTCTTGAAATCTGTGTCATGAAGACCTGAAAAGTTTATCTAATAATTTTATGTCCAAAGGCAAGTTATATAGATATTAAATGATATAAATCAATTCTTCTCATTGACCTGTTAGAATGAGATCAACTGTTAGGCTCTGATTATCCCAATTTTTGAAGATGCACCCATAGAGTCTAGGGTAGCAGCCACTCTAAGAAAAAGAACTCAACCTTGGAGAAGGCAGACAATAAAGAAACGTAAACTGTGGAGAACTTTGATCCCATTTTGAAGAGACATGACATCCAAGAAACCTAAGAAGATCGATTTTCATACTACTGCAATATATATATATATATGTTATATATGTGTGTGTGTGTATAATTTTATGTAAGTTAAT